CCTGAGAAAGTTGTGGCTGTTCAGCCTAGAGAAGGCTCTGACAAGGCCTTAGACATGCCTTTCAGTACTGGAAGGGGACCTACAAGAAAGATGAGGTCAAAGTTTTAGCAAGGTCTGTTGTGATATGACAAGGAGTAATGGATTTAAATTGAAGGAGGGTCAATTTAGATTAGATATAAGGAAGAAATGTTTTACAACGAGGGTGGGGACACACTGGAACAGGTTGTCCAGACAGGCAGTAGTTGCCTCATCCCTAGAAACATCAAGGCTGGGTTGGATAGAGCTCTGAGCAATCATTGAAGATGCCCCTGCTTATTGCAGGGGGTCTTTGACAGTCCCCTCCAACCCAAACTATTCCACGATTTCTCTTGCAAGTGTGTAAATGAAGGACACGGATGGTCCCATGGGATGGAACAGGAGCAGGCCAGGTTACCTGTTGCTCCAAGACTCATTGCAAAGCACAGAGAACACCTCTGCCCGCTGCACACCCCCAGGACAGCCACACACCCCCACCCGGCTTGGGAGGTCCCAGCTATCCTCCTGCACTTTAGAAAGCAGCCGAGGTGCCCACCCCACCGTCTGCAGCAGAGACTTTTGTTTCACTTTGGGTTATCTTATCGCCATAGGAAAGGCAATACAGCAGAAGAATTTCCTTTCCTTTATGTTTCCAGCCTTTCCATTGTCTGGCGTCTGGATTTCTGAGCCTTGCCACTACTCACCAACTTGCTCAGGCTTCTTATCAGCAGAAGCTCTGCAAAGGCTTCTTTTGCTGCTCCAGGCAAACGAGGCAGGACCCATCCTCAGCAGCACAACATGGCAGCCTGTAGCAACACCCCAGGAGAGCCCCAAGGAAGCACCTTCTGCTGCTTTCTGCTTGTTTTGCTGGGGTGCTCAGCACATCCTGGAAGGGCTGCATGTTGTCCAAAGGTGCCTGGGCATGGCCCAGAGCAAGGCTGAGCAGCAGGGCTGGGCCAACTCCACTGCACCATCTCCACTGTGAAGACCATCACATCTTCAAGTCCCACTGTGAAGAGATAGGAGCAGGCAGTGCCACAGGCAGGTGAGAGGGAGCCCTGGGCAGCACAGCTCCCTGGGCAGCACAGGACCTGCATTGCCTTCTTCCCCAGAAAGGAGAACTGACTGTATTTGAAACTAGAAGGTATTTGGTTCTCTCTTTCTGCATCACAACACAAGCAAAGCTCAAAGCAGAATTGAAATGGTTTCCACTTCTCTCACACACTTCCTTCCCTGTCTCATGTGAGGAGAGGGGTCAGGACCATATGTCCAAGAAAGATACTGAGAGTGTCAAGAGGAGAATCCCTTTACCCTGGGACCCACACAGCAATGGTTCCAGCATCCTTCTGCACTGCCATGAATGCAGCTGGTTCCAAGAGCCACCAAACAGAGACAAATTTTGCTGAGAACCCTGTGAAGTCCCAGAGGAGCTTGCACTGGTTCACCAGCACTGGCCAACATAAAGAGGCTCTGCAGAGGCTTTCAGCTTCCTTTTGCTCTGTGCAGGCAGCAAAAACCTGGCTGGACTGCAGGACCTTCCCCTCATGAACATGACAGTGTTTTTGCTTCTTTGCCTCAAATGCTGTAACTCCCAAGTGACAAGGGGCTGAGGACATTTCCAGGAGGGCAAACCAAAGCCTGCCCCACCCAGCACGCGCAGTCCTCGTGCCCTGACACCACCCATGGGACAGACCCTTTTCCCACAGCCCCAGCACGAAAGAACACTGGGGCAGGGTTCCTCTGACTCAACTGCGGTTTCTTTTCCTCTTGTCCTCACGATGACCTCTCTTCATGTCCCAAGATGTCTTGGGTACCTCAAGCATTTAACCCTGAGAGATTATATTCTGAGGTACACCAGAAAGCTGCTCCCTGCCTCTCTTTCAGCATCCCCGTGACATTTTTCCCCAATATTTTTTCCTTTTGCAGCAAAAAAGAAAAAACTCAGTAAAAAAGCTGGACTAGAGCCACCACACAGGGAAGGTGGACAGCACAATGCTGCTCCTCACAGACTTTTTAGGGTAGAGGAACCTGCTGGGGCCTGGCAATGGCTTGAAGCTCCTCACAGGAGGGAAAGATCTGTGACCCGAGAAGAAAGAGAAAAGGCTGCTTCTTACTTTAAAGCAACAGTGCCTCAGGACAATCAGGAAAGAGTTGCTTAAGTTTTGTAGAAAGAGCCTGAAAGGCTCTGGACTAAGCTCCTGTCTTGCCAGGACCAGAGCCATGCTCCCCCACTGTGGGCTTTTTGGCCACCTCTTTGCCAGGCTGATTGGAAACAGCAGCTCGTGTGCTACTCCATACGGGTGAGCATGGGGTGAGGAGTCCCTGGGGACCTGCATCTCTGCTGGGATCCTGAACTGGAACAGGACCCAGCCCTGCTGCTGGGGGTGCCAGGACTGCTCCTCTGTCTGGGAAAGGCTGGCCCCTAACGGTAGAAGAGAAGGAGTTCAGCCTCCCCCAGAGACATAATGAAGTATTTTTGGTCCAGGTAGCAACTGCAGAAAGCCGGCGAGATATTCACTTGGCAGTCCCTTGCTGCAGACTCCCCTGTGCAAAAGCCATCATCCTTGAGCTGAGATGTTGGGAAAAGATCAGTCACCTGACCCTGACAGCCCCACAGTGTGGTCTGCAGTGGGGTGATGGGCAGAGGACTTTTGTAGTGCTGAGTCTGGCAAGTTGAGAGGATTGAGGCTCTGTATCACCTGCCATCAATGGCAGTTAGCAGCACCCAACAGCAGAGTGGCTCAGTGACTTGCATCCTGCCATCCCCCTCCTCTCACTTGCTCACCTATGATGCTTCGCTGAAGAAAAAAATACTGCTCTTCCTCTAAACAGACACTGCAAAGCATGTTTTTCAGTAGGTGGATGGTATAGTCAGCAGCTTAGACATGCAATAGCAAGTCCTGTGTGCAAAGGGCAGCCTCAGCCTTCTGGACTTCCAGGGCAGCGCTGGCAGTTCCACCACAGGCTGCCAGTGCTGCCCTGCAGGTGTGGCACCCAGCACCACCCTCCACCCACGGCACAGCACCCAGCAGCTCTCCCAGGACAGAAAGCACCATGTCCTGGAGGAAGGGACTGTGGGCTGGTCTGAGGCTCCCTAAACTGGAGAATGGCACCTGCAGGGAGAACTGTAGCTCACAATGCAAGTGGAAGATACCATAAAAGGGCAGTTCAGCTTCAAACCACGTTCCCAAAATAGTTCTGCGTTTCTGCTGCTATCAGTGCAGCAGGTAACAACATCAGCCAGGACAACAAACTGCTTTCATTACAAAGCAAAGCCCCCTAAAAAGGGAAGGCAGATTGCTGGGGTGCTAAAGTGCTGTGGATCCCTAAGAACAGACTGAAGCCAGTGGCAGCCTGCATGCTCCCTCTACATGCTCAAGGCACTGAAAGAAAACAGCACTCCAAAATGCAAACTGGCCCTCTGTGGAAAGCAGTGGAGCAGCAGAGGCTCATTCAGAGGTGGTGAGGGCAGAGCACAGCACCTCCTTTGTGCTGGCTCCTGACAACTGAGCAGTCCCCACATCGCCTCATGCCTGCCAACTGCTCCCATGTGCTGCCCTGAGCTGTCATCCAGGCCTGGCTGGCATTGCCCAGCAAGGGATGCAGTTCAGCATCAGCAACAGACCAAACCACCACAGGAAAGCATTAATTTAACCATGGTCCTTGCCTATTATATAGTTTGCCCACTGCTCAGCAACAGCATGAAATATTAACAGTGTTTAGGTCCTTTTCTATCAAGGCAAGAGCACAGCCTGGAGCAGGTTGCATTTAACAACCTCGGCAAACAGTATTTGCTTGGTTGTATTTACATTGTCCTCCATTCACTCATGCAAACACTGCAAGTCACTTGGCAGGTGTCATGGCCAAAGGTTCCTAGAAGCAACAAGCAGTTGTCTCAGGCCCTGGGGATTTCTGTTACTCACTGCATTGGGAAGGGTCTACATCAGGACACAGCCTGTCCAGCAAGAAGGCTCATGGAGATCCAGCTGACAGGAGAGGGCAGAGAATGCAAAAGAAAACTCAGGTATGTGCAACATGAGTTAAGAATTCAAAATGCTTTGAAAAGAGAAAGACAAAATAGAAAAAAAATAGAAAAAAATTAGTATTTTAAAACTTCAATAAAGGATACTCCAACTTAAGTTTGGCAGGTAATTTGACAGGCAGTAGTTTCAGGACACAGGACAGGACAAAAATAAATGGGTGTTTCTGAGCAATCAGGTCCCTAAAGGACAAAAGCAGATATCTTTCTGCAAAGAGGGTGGAGAAGTTGGATCAGAGTGATTTGGCTAAGACATAACCTCTTCAGCAAACAAAGGCAAAAATCACCTTCGCTGGGAGAAAGAGATTAAATAGTCTCTTCTAAGAATGTACTTTCTGCTACAGTACATTGATTTAAATACCATTGACCACATTCATTCAGTGTAATTATGCTTTAATTTTGCAGGTAGGGAACTATCCTCCTAGCAGTGATGTAATTAAGAATTCAACTCCAAGGGAAGTAGAAGCCAAGAGCTCTGCTGTCAGGGGACCCTCTGCACACACAGCACAAACTGGCTGTAAAGGACACACACACAAAGGGTCACAAATCCAAAACCAGCTTGGTTGCACACCCCAAATCTGCTGTGGCTTTGCTCAGCAGTTGTTTTGATCTCTCCATCCACACTTAAGGCCTAGAAAGCACAAATTACAAGACAGCAATCTCTTTTTTAGTATCAGAGACCAGAATCGTCTGTTACACCACCACCTAAAAACAAAGCATGCCTCATCTTTGTGAGCCTTTCCAGTCCTATCATTACTCCCTGTGCTGCACTAGGAATGAAGAGCACAAACATTTTCTCAGCAGGGCAGCTAAGAAGTACATCTCACTTAAGTCTCACCCCAAGTAAGTTAAGTCTTTTTAGCATCAAATATAGTCATGTACTCCATTAAAATTTGTTAATAGACACTTCTGTGACTAGGTCAATGAGACAGAACGTGATACCATATAGGAAGTAAAATCTCAAATATATTTAAGGACAAATTAGCACCAGATTTTAGCCAGTCAAACGGAGCTAATGTTTTAAAATACCAGTGGGAAGTCACACAGAAAACTGATACCAGCTCAGTGTGAAGGACATAAAAGCAGCATTTTCCTTGCACAGTTGTGCCATGCTCTGCTCAAGCTGGGAAATAGGGAGTGGTTTCAGTACCAAATTCTACAGAATAGGTCTGGCACAGCAGAGAAGGAAGAGGGCAATAAAGATAATTTTACTTTATTTTTCAACACACTAAAGTGTTCTGTCAAATCAATAAACCAGCTTTAAAGACAGGATAAAAAAAAAAAAGGAGATCAGCAATAGTGTCTCATAATGTAACAAACATCACTCATTGAAGTTCAACTGTTTATAAAGATTTTAGTCGGATTTACAGGGCTTGCTTTGATTGCGACAGTCATAAAATACATCCTTTATGGAAGGAAAAAACACTACCACATGGCTCCATCTGCTCCCATTGAAAGGATGTTTCAGCAGCAGTCAAACATCTGGGCTGGCTTCCAGATAACACAAACAGCCAGGTCTCTTTTGTTCCCAGAAGGGATGAGCTTCAACTACCAGAGCCCATCCTTACCCCTGCCCAGGCCAATCCACAGCACAGAGCTACCAGGTGAGCTACTGATGCCCACTTATCCTTTTTTTTTTTTTTTTTTTTTTTTTTTACCCCTCAACTAAGGCCTGTGGGACAGTGCAGTCCCTGCCCTGGAAAAGCCCAGTAGTGGTGCCACAGCTAAGCCTCCAGGTGCTTGGTGATCCTGCGAATTTTCTCCTTCTTGTTCCTGTTTCCGTGTTTTTTCCAGGGCTTTCCTACCACATTCCCAGGATTGGATGCAGTCCCAGGCACGAGGCCGCTGCCAGGCTGGTATCCCATTGCAGCCCGGACCCCTTTCATGAGGGCTCGGACGTTCTCCTACAAGAGGAAACACAATCACCAGTAACCGATGAGAAGATATTTAACCACAGGAACTGCAATATGTCAGTAAAACCAGACAAAGGTGAGCTTAAACCCATCAGGACCTGCTCAGCCCCTGTTCCAGAGCTACAGGAAGGTCACCCCACAGATCCCATCCAAAGCCTGCCAGCAGGCTCCAGTTCTGCCTGGAGCTGTGCCGGGTCCCCAGCACCCACCACTGCCAGCAGAGGCACTGACAGAGGCACTGTGACAGACATCAGCTACAGCACTGGGGTGGATTTTTACAGCCTCTGCTTTGCTCACAACAAATTGTCTTTGCAAAATAAATCTGGCATCTGTGAAAGCCACAGACTAAAATAATTTGCTCAAGTCTGGAGCGTGGGTAGGACTGATGGGGCTCACAGCTTGTGCCAGCACTTTGGGCAGACAGAGGAAGAGTCTGGTAATCCCAAAAATTCTTTTCAGGTCACAGTTTTCTATGTTATTTTGAAAAGAGCCTGAGTTCTTGTTTTCAAAATGCATGACTATCTTTAGCTGTGCTAAAGAAATAGTGTTCATATCCAGTTAACCAAAGAGAATAGAACATGATGTCTATGACACACCCTCTTCACTGCTAAACACCTGTTCTGATCTTTGTTAGGTATGCAGACCTAATTGCTTCTGGACTTCACTACAAGTCACTATTACATTTTTTCATTAGTGTAGGGGGAAAACAGATCCCCGTGGGACCTCCCAGGAATCATACAGCTTAAGAAAAATTCCCATTTTCTACTTATTTTTGAGATTTCTCAATTGGATTTTAAATCATTTGTATTCTTTTCATCTGATTTCAAGTAGTACTAAATCAATTGTCTTAAAGAAGCTTATCACATCCCCTAAAAATGTCAGTTCAAGAAAGGAATGTTAGTCTGAAGGACGTGTAAGTCCAAAACCATGTTCTGGGTCAGTTGCTGTGTCATTCCAACCTCCTTATCTGTCTTCACCATCATCCCCATTTGCTCAAGATTGATGTTAGGTCCATAATGACAAGGGTCACCCTGCTGATCTCTTAAAAATCAGCTATGCATAGCTCATTATCAATCTGTCAGTCACCTGGGACATTCCCAGTGATTTAAGAGATAATAAAAAGAATAGAGAGTTCTTAGGTAAAAATTATATGCAGATCCCACAGCATCTAGCACCATTAACTCAACCCAGCACACTTCCATCCTCAAAGGTGGCTTTTTTCTCAGTAACTACAAATAAGTGTTGCAGTAAAAACTCATGGAACAAATTTCCTCCAGAATTTACCTGGTGGAAAAACGTTTTATCCACCACATTTTCAATTTGCTTTGCTTTGTTATTCTTCTCAGGCTTCACCTGTCCAGTAACCTGCACAGTTCTGCTCTCCAGGCATCTTTGATGCTGGTGCTGAAAATCATTTGGGTCAATACCAGGAGGTGGGTGGCAATATAACAGCTTCCCCTGTGAAAGCAAAGGACACAGTTATGACCAAAGAAACTCAGAGAGAAACCCACGGAGGAAAGAAGACAACCCCAAACCTAAGAAGGGCCCGAAGTCCAGGGGCTAACACTGACAAACTGTACATACACTTTATTTCTCCTTCCAGGCAACAACTGGCTCAACTTCTAAGTTCAAGTACTGTTCCACCTCTACATCAAAGCACCATTTCCAGCTGCAAACAATACAGTGCAAAACTCTCAGGAGCACTAGAGGATCCTATTAAGAAATTCTCAACAATAAGTTGCTGAGAGGTGCTGCAGAAAAATGCAGTATTACAACACTCAAGAGTTACAGTCCTTAGTGCCAAATATTGGTCCAGCTATAGAATATGGGTTTGTTTCCTGAATATCTGCTGGTTATTTTAGAGATATGATTATTTATTTAGCTAGCACCATATTGTTAAGCAAGCAACTTTTTAATATTAAGCAGCTTGAGAAGTTCAGTTTATTCTTTTAGAAAATAAAACCAGCCCAACTTAGAGTATTTTGATATACAGTGACTTTATCCAGAGAAACAGAATTCACTTTATTGGCTCTAGTGAAACCTTCAATTCACTTCCTAGCAGGAAAGAAAACCCAGATGTAGGAAACACTTACACTGACATAGTCTTTCAATACGTATCGAGCTGATCTCGGCTGGTCTGGCTGTCCATGAGCTGTCATAAAGCCTCTCATATCTGGAAGGCAAATCCACAGTACATTCTGTGTAAGTACAAAAGAATTAATATGTTCTTGTCTGCTGCCTAACTGCACATTTGTATCCTTTGTCCAAAAAAAAAACTCCCTTAGAAAGAGGCTTCTGCTGGGGAAAGCAGGGAAAAAAACGACAATGTTGCTGACTGGAGAGGTACCACAGAAGCATCCTGACCTGAAAGAAATGATGAGAGCTGACATCTCCCAGCCAGCAGAAAATCTGCTGGGTTTTTATTTTTGTTTTAAGGCCAGAGAATCAGAATTCACTGCATTCTTCAAAGTCTAATTCAAGACAGTTAATGGGAGGTATCTGAAAGGGTAAGAGCACCACACTATAGACTGGCAGGGTATCTCACCAGTGTCCTCCACACCAGATGAGACTGGCAAACACACACAGGAGATGAGCCATTAACAAAGGCTCTGCTGAGAGGAGAGCAAGTCCTAATATGGAGGTTCAATGCACAACAAACCCAAGGTGGGCCTAACTTTAAAACATGTTCAGGACCATGCACAGTGTAGGTGACAGGTTTTATAAGGATCATCACTCACATCCGTATGCTGTTAGCAGCTCTTCAGCTGTTGGCTTTCGATCTGGATCCTCATCTTCCCTTGGCCTTATAATACTTATTCCATAGGTTGCTTCCAAAACGTTTCGTGGGATATGCTGGCAAACGTAAGCTAGTGAAGGAAACCATCTGGTGATTTTCAGCTACACAAGTAACCTTGCCCCTTTGTCACTCCAAGAGCACACATGAAGAATGACTTCTGGATTTTGTTGCAAACCAGAAAAATTAAACAAGCCTGACAATAAAACAAAGTTGAAATGAGGTGGGAAAAGACCAACACAGCAGGGCTGTTTTATCCAGCATGTCCCATCACCCTCAAGGCATGAGCACTTGTGCTGCCAGCAGGGCTGGAACACGCTACTTGGCATCCTCCAGATCCAACCCCTGCAGACACTCCCATGAACCCCATGCAAAGGATATTAGAGAAACAGGTGGGACATGGTCCCTCATCTGGTCTATAGGCAGAATTCCAGAACAAATCATTTCTGCCTTGGTAGAGACGAAAGATGGCATCACCAGACCAGGGCAATCACAAAGGCACAGGCCAGGCTCCACGTACAGGGTCTACATGAAAATCATCAATTAGTTCACATCCACATGAAAATAACCAATTAGTTCATGTCATCAAGTCAGTGTCCATGGAGGAAACAGGAACAAAAAAAATGAGTCAAATGCATAGATGAAACATGGATGCAGAAATTCTACTAACACAGATATCTGCCCTGCTGGCCCCGGGTGATGAATTAAGGAAATAAGGTGTCCAGATGGGGGCAGCAAGACCTTCAGCTCTACAATCTAATGGGAGAGAAGGAAGCACCCCAGAAACCTTTAACTGTGTTTTAAAACAGGTTGAGCAAGTGCAAATCCCACGATGGTCCCACATTATAGTACTGGAGTTGCTATCTCCAAATTAAAGCTTGATCAGCAGCTCTCATAAGTGACTCGCACTGTAGCAAGAGTTTGGAAGCAAGAACTAAAGTTCCAAAATTCTATACATCAAGACCACCCCTCTCTAACATACTCTGCTGGCCAGAGTTTAGGATGGCAGAGTACTCAGTGAGTGCATGTGGTTGCAACTAGCTCAAAATGAAGCTTCCTTCCACTGGGGAAAAAGAAATAACAAAAAAAGATCGATGCTGTTTGTTAGCAATACCTGAAAGTGTTTTGTATGGCCTGGTGTAGCAGATACTGACACCTTCTTGTTTCCAAGGATTGTGTTGATGGTTGAACTTTTGCCAACATTAGGGTAACCCACCTGGATGACAAAGAAGTGGAATGGTAACAGTGGTATCAGGCAGGATGATGCCAGAAGACAGATAGAGCTCTGACACAAGAGTACTCCAATAAAGTGTACTAAAAAAACAGGGCAAGCAGTGGAGAACACTGAGCTACAGTGGTTTGTCCTTGCTAGTTTTTAAAGCCTTATAGGAAGCCAGGCTACAGGATGAACTTTAGCTATAGAGGGCATATGGAATTAAAATTTAGATTAAACAAGTTCCATTAAAGCACAAAGTCCAACTCACCAGCCCAACATTTACTTCCCCATCCTTCACCCTTGGTCCATAGTGCATGGTTTTGAATATCTCCAGCAGCTCATTTCTCTGTACTAGATGGCTGAAGTTCCTGACATTGCTGTTCTGCTCCTGCACTACATGCTGCACTGCAGCACCATCAGTCCTGTTTTCCATCCTCTCTGGAGCAATAGCATTTATGTTGTCCCCATCTTCATCTTCAGAACAGGTTTGCCAGGCCTCCTCTTCATCTTCTTCACAGTCTTCATATTCATCACTGCTGTCATCAGCACTAAGCAGAACTTGGTTTACAGTTTGCAAAGCATTGTCTGTGGATGTGCTTTCTGCGCTACCTTGTGCTGTGTTGTCTTCTGCTTGACTGGAGCTTTCATCCTCAGAATCACTCAGGTGCTCTGCTACACCTTCAGCATCCCGTTCCTGTGTGAACAGCATTTCAGGGGTGAAATGCAAAGACAGCACTAAGCCTTGCTGTTGACTGCAGTTGCTGCAGTGCAAGCAACCATATTTTCATCAGCCACATCCCAAGGGCTGACAATTCACTGCTTACATCACACCGTTATTTTTAGGGGTCTTAAGTATGATGTAGACACATCTAGCTCATTTCAGGCAAATGACAAAAGTAGTTCAAGAGGGACTGTTCACGGCTTCTCTGTGAACTTGTTAAGAGGTTTCTCTCAAGAAGCACAGCTCTGAATGCATGCATAACCACCATAATTTTAAAAATTATTAAGTGTTCCTAATAATAGGAATGAATGTTGTTTTTCTCAAAATTTTCAGAACACAAAGCCATTTTTCAGGCCTAAATATTTAATTAAAATAATTTCAAGCTGTCTTGTTTTCAGTCCAACTCTACTTTTCTTCCCTGCAAAGAGTTTCCAATCAAAAATGAATACCTTTTCATAACAATAGTATTTTGACCTTTCTTTTCAAAAAAAGAGAACAGAACTAACATTTTCAGTCTTACTTTTAAATTAATCTGTAAAAACATTTTATGCAAGGACTGTAAACCAGCTGAACACAGTAGGTCTTTTTGGAAATAGATATGTGATATTCCATAGCTGAATGGGTGTAACAGATGAAAATTGCACTTACTGGTAACAGGTAGTTTGGGGCAGCAGCTTGGTTTATTCCACTGGGCAAAAAAAAAAGGGCTTTCAAGTACTACAGGTTCTTTAAGAAACACCTCCCCTCTCTGGGAGAGAAAAAAACTCTGTAGAGATAATCCCATTCCTCATAGCATCCCCTCTTGGAAAGGTTTCCAATTCTTTCACAACAAGTTGAGATTCTGCAAACAGGTCTACAAGGGTTGTTTTTGTGTTCTGCACTTTGTTCACCATTTTACTCTCCTCACTTTTGTCTCTGAATTGATCATTCAAATGCTGTTTTATAGTTGCACAGGTCTTTAAAATAATCATTCCCAAAGACAAGGACAGTGAGGACAGTGCCTTTCCTAGAAAGGTGCTCAAGTCTATCACAAGCACAGGTGCAAAGCAAGTTACCAGCAGCAGCCAGCACACACTTAGTTTGAGCTGCTCATCCACAGTACCTTTGTTTCTCCAGACAGCCGTTTACACTCTGCCAATGCTGACCAGAATACCACCTTCACACCCTCCTTCTCAAAGAACTGTGCCCAAGCAGCTCGCTGCTCCTCACTCAGCAAATCTGCTTTGTTGATCAGGATCATGTTCTCCTTGTCATTACTGACTTCCTTAACGTAACTTTCCTGAAAAAAACACGAGAAGGATCAGTCCATACTCTGGTTTCGACTCCTCTTCCCCCCAAGGGGAATACAAGAGCAAGCTCCACACAAGTGTAGCCCAGCTTACCATGTGCTCGGCTAGGTTGAACTGGTGCTTAGCAGACAACTACAAGGACAAACTGGAGCATGCAACTACCACAACACAGCTTGTTGCCGGCCACATGTGCAAACACCTTGTCTGCTTAGAGCTATGGCAAGGTATTACTCAGCATCCTGCAGCAAGAACTCCTAAGATAACTATTTGAGCAATTTCATGTCTCAATGATACAGTGTTCTATAGTCTATCATTACAAAGTTGTCACTTCAATAATTGATTCTTTGCTTTCAGTGCAATAACTCTCATTCACATTTATTCTACTATGCTTTTACACAGAACAAATCCTTTAAGTGAAGACACTTTTAGTGGGTAATGAGGAGTAATTTAATGTCTGCAATATAATGTCTGCAGAATTGCCTCTAAATCCACAACATCCTCTGGGAAATATCAAAAGACATCAAAGAAAAATAATTTTCTGCCAGAATACTTGCATAAATTAATAAGATATCCACTTAAATACAACAGTAGAACCGCTTCAAGGTAGCTGAATGTGTTAAATAAAAAATACATTATGTAAACCTTACAATATAAAACTAAGACAACATTCAAAAAAGTGATTTACTTACCAGATCTTGACATCTAAACAGAAGAGGGTTTCTAGCATCTACTATCTGGACTACAATATCACTGCAAAAGTAAAAGAAAACCCCATAAATATCCCTCCTTACCTTGCCTTAAAGGAAGCAGCAGGGCACAGCAATTATTCAATTTTAGGTTTTGCTTGAATTTTAATAGTTTTTACTGTATTATCTTACTAAATACTTTTACTGAATAACAAAGCATCTCAGCAGCCCACCTACCCAACTGAGCCAGGCTTGTGCTATAAGCCAGTACTGCTGTACAGTATTTTCTCCTCGCTTAGCTCATTCCCCTGCAGCTGGCAAGTGGGAAGGAAACACGCCAGTTTTGCCAATCCATTTACCCTCCAGAAACACTCAGCAGGCGAGAATCAGAGCAGTAGCATTCTGTGCTTTAGAATGGTACTAAAAACTGTGATAACACAACTTCATTTCTGTCTATTCTCATCCCCAGCTATAGTGGGGCAGTTACCAAAAGAAAGAAGAGGGGGTTTCCCTACACAGAGAGATATTCTGGAATATCGTTGTCCCCTTTGCATGTAACAAGATCTATGAAGTCTCCCACAAACAACCTGCAGATTTTAAGTGCTCGATATCAGGCATTTTCAGAATTTCTCTGTGGTCTTCCTGTCCTAAAAAGCATAAAACAGTGAAAAAATAGCCCTAAACTCCAACAAGACATGGTGCTCCCCCATGAAAGGAAGGCCTTACAACCTGCTTTTAGCAAACAGCTTCCAAACCCAGACACCAGGTTGCCACCACATATTTGAGCAAGACTCATCAGTTCTACACATCAATTATATGCAATAGCTTCAGACCCCAAAGGCATTCATGCTTCTTTTCTCAAAAGGACAGGGAAAATTTAACTACAGACTCTTCTACTAGAGTTTCTGCAGGTAGTTTAAAACACTGATTACCACATGCTGATTCTATTTGTTTGACAGGGATTTTTGTTAACTCAGGACAGTTCCAGAACACGAAGGGTTGAATGGAAGAATTTCCAGCCTCACTAGGCAGTTGGTTACATATAAAAAACCCCAAATCAATAACCCCCCAAGGGAGTAATTTAATAAGCCACATAGGTACAAAGAGGTACTGCATAGTTACAGAAATTCAGAGATCAATATGAGAGAAAGCTGACACCATGGAACTGGGGTGGGATACAGAGAAATTACTGAATCACACTGCTGGGAACTAGTTTGAAGCAAACACATGAAAAGGCTGACAACAGCTCAAATTATCTGGCAAGATAAGGGACTGAATGACTTTTCCATTCCTTTCCAAGACAGCATCCTCACACTATACGAAATAAAAAGCTTCAACAAGAGGAGAAAGGCATTAGTAACACATTCCAGCCACCTCAAAACACCCAGTACACTCACACTGCCTGTCATGATCCCCTACAGTGGATGCTCCCAACCAGCACTCTCCTGGCCAAAGGCCCAGCAGCACCCAGTACAAAGCCCTTTCTGTGAAAGGACCAGCTCATCATGACCTCACTGGTGAAGTATTTTTCAATTTTAGGAAAATCAGACAAGATGATCTCAAACCTAATTACTAGTGAAATTAAATGCCCCAATTAGATTAACGTAGCAGATAGCACTCTTATTGTATTACAGCTCAGCAGAGCAAACAAAGCTATTCCTGTGATATGACAGCCTGTTGTCTTTTGTGCACTGCTGCAACTTCTCTGCGTGGTGAAGGGCCAAGGACCAAGAGATTCCTTCTTTCCCAACATTAATTCATCTCCCTTGCCTCCTGCCCCCTGAACAGCTGCAGCTGTGTGGCTGGGAAGAAGGGGAAGGGGTTAGTCTCGGTAAGAGACAAAGACAGTTCTCAAAAGAGACCTCCCACAACGAGTTACTGGAAGAGCAGCAGAATCTTCAGAGACTTGGAGCAAACCACTGCAGATCACAGTGCTGAAAACCAGCAGGCATCATAAGGAGCTGCCATTCTTCACATCACATTTTGATCACTTCAAAACAAAGTCACTTCAAGTGCTAATAATAAAACATTACTAACTTAATTGTTTTTCCTGTGCTCAGACACTTATAGCCTGACTCAAAAACTTCAATTCATTAAACACTACTTTTTGAAAAGTCAGCAGCGAAATACTTTACCTTCTTTCAATGACTCTCCAAAGCTGGCGCCAAAATTCCAAATTTCGTTCAAATGGGGTTAGAATTAACTTTTTCTCTTCCTCAAGGCTAAGGTAAAACAAACAAACAAACAAACAAAAGATGTCATATTTGTCCATGTCAGGCAGTAAGCACACTACCAGTTTTAACTTAGATCTGGGAGGTGTTAGTTTCAGAGAGAGCTCTCAAACAAGACTCATATATAGGTACTATTTCTGCTGGTTTTGCAAACAGATCAAGCACCAGGTAAACTGCTGTCAGTGTCACTGCTTCAGCAGTGACACAACAGCTCCTGATCATGCCAATGTAGAAGTGGTAAAGGATGGAAAGAACAAAAACTCATGAAAAGTCTGTCCATTCAATTTCAGAGAGGCAATAATAAATGAGGGAAGTTATCCCAAGTACCAGTTGTTACAACTCCACTGAGTACCACTTGGAAAAGGTAACAAATTTGGAATGGTACCTGAAATGGCTCTATACAACCTCTAACTTGCTGTTACCACCATCTGAACAACTTTACTCAAGGCAAGCATGGGGTTGCACGGCATGAGCAGGTACCACACAACTCTCCAAGCCAGCAGATGCAGCAGCAGACCAGAACAAACTGCTGTACACAGGCTGGCAGCACTGCCTACCATTCACTGCCTACCACGCTGCTCTTAAAAAACACATCCAGCACTCCTCTACTTCACAGGTAAATGCAGAACATCACAAGTCATCCTGAAGAATTTCAAAAGAACGCATACACAAGACAGCTTTGCAGAGCTCACCACAAAGACTGTGGCTGAGATGTTCAGCCTTCCAGGACAAGTACAGAGAGCTACTCAGGAGACAGTAATTTTATCGGTCCAGCAAGGATAAATACAACCCCCTGCTTGTGTCTCTAAATGCCACTAGCTACTTATTCAGACACAAGCAGCATACTCACTGGGCAAGCTGTCGCCTCCACTCAAGGAAGCTCTCCCTCTCTGCTTGCTTCAAGTCCTCTGCACTGGTTGTCCTATCCCAGCATGGCCTGTAACAAGCATATTTTGGAGTGAGTGGTCAGAAACAGCACTCAGACCAGCTACATTACTGCAGTAAACAAAAAGAACACAAACACCATACATTCAGCTATGCTAGGATGGTTATAGTTCAGACATTAGTGCACTTGTTTTCAGCAGCTTTAAGTACACCTTCTTTCCTTGTTCCTTCCAAACTCCCTTAGCTGAGAGTATGTACACCAGATCACACAAAGCTCCTTTCTCAAGCTAAGACTTGGAGGGTCTTAAAGACAGAGGAATAATCTCCCTGTTTGCCATGCACAGAGCTCTGGAAAAGCTTACCAGGCAGCATAGATGCACCAGGTCCAGGAGTGCCAAACTTTGAGCAGGAAACCTCCACAATCAGGCCAGGTGAGCTGGCACTGAGAGCACTCACATGGCAGGCTGGCACCTGTGCTGTGGTTACATGCTGTTACTAGGCTCATGCAGGCTAGTGGCTTCCCCCACTCAGCCAAGGGGCATCCAGGCCCAGCCCTGCAGGACTCGCCTCCGTGGGATGCGCAGGAACTCCTGGTTCTCCTGGTGCAGCTGCCGGATGCGCTGAGCCTCCTGGTCTGTGAGCAGGCCCGTGCAACTCTGGGCAGACACGATCTGGGCATTCAGACGCTCTGCCGGAGGGAGAGATGGTCATCTAAAGCCACTCGTCCCCAGCCCACCCTGTCCCCAGCCCTGCTGACCCCTGCCACCCCATCCTGTCCCTGCTGCCCCCCCAGCCCTGGCTCAGGACCCCATCTTCTGTTCCCCAGTTCCCCGCCCGGCCAAACTCATTGTCAGCCCTACAGATCAGACCACGCCTACTCCTACTCCCACTCCCCCATTCCAAAATCGGTCCCAGCCCTCCACCTGCGTCCCCAGCCTGGGGATCTCCCTCCCCAGCCCCTGGATCTACCTTCCCCAGCCCCGGTCCCGTCCCAGCCCCTCACCGGCCACGAAGCGGGTGCCGGCGAGCTCGGCTGTGGCCAGGAACTCCTCCAGCGGGCTCTGCTCGGGCGCCGACCTCAGCTCCGGGCCGCGCTCGGCGGCCACCTCGCTGGCGTGGAGCTGCCGGGACAAGACAGCGCCGTCAGCCCGAGCCGCCCCGGCCTCCCTCTCGGTCCCTCAGCCCCCACGCCGTACCCATGAGGAGGAGGCTCCGCGGCGCTCCAGCCCGCGCTGCCGCTGCAGGCAGCGCCCGAGCCCCGTTCCCCGCTTCTTGCCCATGTGCCGCCGCCACCGCCGCCGGAAGGGGCGGGCGAGCCGGTCCCTTTCACCGCCCCTTCCGCCGCCGCGCCCGCCCCGCAGCGCTCCGGGCGGGCGGGGTCGCTCTCCTCGCGCCTGCCGCCGAGCGGCGACACCGCTCCTGCAGCGCATCCCCGTGCCCATCCGGCCGCGCCATCGCTCCGTGTGCCCAGTGCCCACCCACCCGGCGCACATCCACTGCTGCCCTGCCTGTCTGTCTGTCCGTTCGCCCCCACTGCCCGTCCATCCATCCAGTCCGGGATGAGAGGACATAGTCTTAAGCCGCGTCAAGGGAGGTTTGGGTTGGACATCAGGAAGAATTTTCTTCACAGAAAAAGCGATTGGACATTGGAATGGACTGCCCAGGGAGGTGGTGGAGTCACCGCCCCGAGAGGTGTTTAAGGAAAGACTAGATGGAGCACTAGTTATCGGTGTTAGGTCATAGGTTGGACTCAATGGTATTGGAAGTCTTTTCCAACCTAATTGATTCTGTGATTCGGTGTGATCTACCATCTGTCCACCCATCTTTCCATCCTTCCCTCCCTGCCTCTCTCCCTGTGGCACTCAGCACAGACACACATTTCTCCAGCCCTCCTCTTCCCAGGTCAAGCTCTAACCCTCTCCCATTGCAGCCACCAGCCCCACCACTAATAAACCCAGGGGCACGGCTGACCCCCACTCCAAGGTCGGCACAGCAGCAGGAGGCCCTGGCAATCGGGGGATGCGCAGGGTTGCCAGCCCCAGCCCAGCCGTCGGCAGTGCCGCCGGTGGTGGGGCTGGTTTCACTTGCAGGTTCCTCTGGAAGCAAACCACTCCAGCAGCAAGGAGTGCGAAACCCTGCCCAGCAGCCAGCCATGGGGGCAGGGGGTTGTGTGTCCCTCCAAGGAAAACCACCTTCGCCCTGTAACACACCCAGCCCAGTGTAGTCTCCCCATCTCTGTCATCCCAGTAGAGCAAACAAGTGTATATGAGGACTGACAGTGACAAAGAGGGAACCTGGATGCAGCAAGTGTGCTACTAGGTTGCTGCCAAAATCTAGCCAGAGTCTGGGCATCTTTACCAGACAGAAAACATTACCTGACCAGCCAGGGAAACATTGAACAGGTTTCAGCAGCAGCCATTGTGGCCAGCCTGGGTCAAGACAGGAGAGAAGGTTAAATTAATAAACAACTCAACCTGTACTTACTCACTGAACTGATTTATGAACCATTTCTCCTTTATGGTTGTTGGGTTAAGGCCAGACAGTTTTGAGCATAAGTCTGTAACATGTATCAGTTGTAAATGGAGAAAAACCTGGCTGATCCCTGGAAAACACAGGCAAGCAAAGTTTAACTTAAGGAGCTGGCCACCCGCAGCATAGCACCATGTACAACCACACAGGAAGGGATGGTCTTTTCTCTTGCTTTGCATTCCATGATGCCTCCCCATGATAAATACCCATTAGGAAGATACAGTTTTTCCTTTATTCTACTTTTCAAAGCCAGCAACTGTGTGGCATAAATTTCCCAAGTGCGTCTGAACCTTTGCCATGCTTATCCCAGGCTCTGCCACCATCACCCTCCTGGTCTGGCCCCTCCTTTGCTTCCTAAGGCAAATAAGAGAGATGAAAGGGGACTCAGCGGTCTCCTTTTCATTTAGGCAAGGTGCTTCAGTGGAAGGCTGGTGGGCTGCAGACAGCATGCAGAGATTTAGTAAACTCATTTCTAAGCACGTCATCTTTAATAAAACCATCTCAAGTCTTTATGTGGCCACCGACGCAGTAATAAAAGTGCTCATTATTGTCTTTCTTTTGTACTTCAGTTAAAAGTTAGCTTGCCTCTACAATGCATAATCATCAGCCAGAGCAGCCAGCCAGCCTGGCTGTTCCCTATGCCTTGGGTCTGGCAGCACTTCTAACCCCACAGCCGAGGCATGTGCAGTGCCGCTCCCAGGCTGCCCAACCATGGGCAAAATGCTCCTATGATCCCATTGGCAAAGCCCCAGTAGCACGGCCTTGGCATCACCAAGGCCCTTGGCTGGTAACTACACTAGTATGGAGTTCTGGATGGACCTCCCTGGGACACAGGCAGCCGCGATGGCTGAACTGGAAACAGACCCTTGGAGACAGGCAGAAGTGCTGTTGCAGTGAGAAACGGAGGCTCAGGCTTGCCCCACCACCTGCAACCCTCAGTGCATCCTAGAGGCAGTGAGGTTTGAAGGTAAGCTGAAGAACAAAGACCTTTGTATTTTGATTGGCATGTTTTTCCCACACTTTGCCCTTTTTTCCCTCACCATTCCCCATTTCCAGACTGAAGTGTTTCAGGGACAGTCACTGCTGGTATTTTCTACCACCTTTGTGGGAGCTGCTGAAGAAATGCCCAAATTGCCCTCATTCAACAGATACATTTCAGGGCACTTCATAAACACTGGGGAATTATTTGTGTCTGTTGATGCCAGCAGCTCAGCAAGGATTGCTTTGAGCAGAGCAGTGCTGAAGGAAATACAGATTGGTGATCTAAGTGACAGAGACATCAGGGACTTGGCTAGAGTAGTAATTGCCTATTTGCAATTGCCATGTTTCTAATCCCTCTGCCATTGCTCTGCTGTGCCTACCTGAGCAAGATGGGCTGCTGCTGGTCTTACCTGAACATGACAACCTGCTGCTCCTAGAAGTCATTTATGCATAGATTATTCACACACAATGAAAAGGGCCACTAAAGTACAGATGCTGTCGCAAGAGCTGCACAGAGGCAGCCTGGCACTAGAGTGTGCATGCCAAAAGTGCAGCCAGTCAAGGGGAGCGTGGAGGAGAGGAGCATGCTGCTGTGGTCTGATAAACCTGTTGATTTGCAGCCCATTCCCATATGATGCAGCAGCTACCATGGCATGCAAAATGAACATAATTTTTGCTGCTGGACCTTGTTTAGACAACTCAGCTCTTTGACAGAGGTGCTCAGGCTGGAGTGAAATGTTGTCTTGGGAGAGCAAACACTCCTGTGCATCACCAAACCTCTCATCACTCCTTTGAAATGCACTAACCGTGCCCAGCACTGCTGCCTCTTTGGAGGGTGGCCATAGCTTTGGGACTTCTCACAAAATCATTACATAGACAAAGTAAAATCTGCTGTCCTTCCAGCACACTGTAATCATTGACTGGGGCTTCCCTCCCAACTTCTGGCTTGGAGCCAAGCCACTGCTCCAGTTTTTGATGCAAATCCTGAGAATTATTGAGCAGCAGCAGCTCTTTTTCAAAAGCCAATGATAACAGTGCATTTTTGCCTAAAGGAAACATCGTTTTTTTCTGGACAACTTTTCCTCTATTTTCCTTTAAGGTAGCACTGAGAGATCTCAGGACTGTGTCTCTAAAATATTCATGTGATTCATTATTCATTATTCATGTAGGTTCACAATGCTTGATTCAGCGGTACTGCCAGCCTCAGCCTGACAAGCAGACCCATTAAGAAACCTCCCCTAAAGCACCCCTGCAAGAACACCCAGACAATTTTGCTCTGTGCACAATTGCAGCTGCTTGAACCCCTTTCTTTCCAGCTGTACTCAGAAATGGACTGGCACTGCAGGAAAAGGAGCTTGTTCTGCAAGCTTCCCCATCTTCTGGTGAAGGTCTTGGTCCCCTTCAGAAAGAGCACCATGCTGGAGAAGCTCTGAAGCAGGGCTGCCTGGCCCAGGCTGCACCCTGAGAAGGACTAACCCTGCTGGGGGCCTCAGGCAAGTTTTTTAGATTCTGCTTCTTCCACCAGCTCTAAGAAGATAAAATCACCTCCTGGCAGGATGGGAAAAAGTTAATTAGAGAGAGCTGCCTGTATCTTTGAAGGCACAAAATGCCGGATGGGAAGCTGATGGTATTTCTCCAGCTCCCAGTGTGCCAGCTCTGCCTGGGAAGACTCATCCCTGTTGCCTGCTGCTGCTCTTCCACATGGACAGGGATGGCCCCATGGTGGCAGCCCCCCAGATGGGGCGTTGAGCAGAGGATGCTGCCCAAACACCACCTCTGCACCTCTTGGCTGGCAGCATGGTGGGAGGACAGGTGCCCAGCACAACACTACCCAGCAAGCCCCCCCGAGGTTGCCGTGACCCCAGGGGAAGGCTCTGCACCACTGGACACCAAATGCCCTTCTAATTATAGCTGTGGGTGCAGGAAGCACCACGGCTGCCTGTGCAGGAAGCAGGGTGTGCCACCCTCAGTGACTGAAAAACAACCACGGCAGAGGTGTGCCACCACCAGCATGGCCCTGCTGAGGGGCAGAGCCCTGGCCCCAGGGCTGCCCTTGGGCTGTGGTACCCTGAGTTACACTGGCATCATCCTTGGTGTACCCAAGAGATCCAGGGCTGCTGGTGTGTGGACCTCCCACTGCCCTGGCATTGCCTGTGCCCCCAGCTCCAGCACCTGGAGCCCTGCCAGGGCACACTGTCTGCAGGATGGGGGTGCTGTTCCCCTTCAGAGAGCCAGGAGGGCAGGAGGGGTGACATGAGGCATCCATTAAAGGCTGCTAAGGACTCTTCTCCCTGAGCAGGTGATGCTGTCCCCTGCCCTGCCAACTCATCTCAGGCTGTCCCTGCTCCTATTGACAGGCAGCCATCTGCAGTTGCTGCTGGCCAGAGGCTGGGGGCCATGGCACCTCACCTGCCCCCACGGATGGCCTGTGAGGCTCAGGAGCTGCTCAGTCTTTCTACTTCATGAAAAATCCTGACAGTTCAGCATTTCCTTTGTTCCAATTCAGAACAAAGAGTGAAAACTTTGACATTTAGCATAGTGATAGAGCCTCTGAAATTGTTTTGGAAAATACCAAAATGCCAGTTTGCACTGTTTCATTTTGACTGTTGCACTTCAGCTGCTGCGACACAACAAGGTCTCCTGCTACCTGAGAGGAGAAAACCTGATAAGTTTTCATACACTGACAAAATCAGTACATTGCCATGAATTATTTTGGTTTTGTCATATTAACCTTCCCCAGCACCTCTTCCCACTACTCTCCCCAGAGACCCACATCAGCTCCAGTTCCAGCTACTAGGTACAAAAGTCATCCCTGAAGTGAGGCTGCTCCCTGCAGGGTTTCACCCTCCCATCAGACAAACCCTGGCATCTCCCCACACAGCTGCAGGGCATCCAGTGTGGGCAGCCTGGCAATCCCACTTCAAGAGAGTGCTGGGCAGCTGGCCACCTGTCTGTGCCCCAGAGGGGCACCATGCACCCCAGAGCCTACAGGCTCCAGTGCAGACCAGAGTGGGCAGGGCAGGAGAGAGTGGGCCAGGGAGTGGGGTCTGCCAAGGGCCAAGTGCAGCACTCAGTGTGCTGCTGGCACTGGGCTGCAGGGCAGAGATGGTATCTTACAGACTTTCCCACGCCTTGTTCAGGCTTTCCGTGCGTGCACACTAGGCAGGTGATGCTCAGTAGCTGCTGGGATATTGCATAGAGAGCAGGCTGTTGCACTCCCCCAGGCTACAGTGCTGTGCAGATAAGCCCCTAGCATGCATGTCCTACACATCATGGGTGCTGCCGGCCTTGCAGGCAAGGAGAGAGCCTCGTGCTGACTGGGAACCAGGCAGCATGTCCTGACCCTGCAGGGCTTGTGCTTCAGCTTCTCCTCCTGGCAGTGAAATACAGACATCCAGTGCTACTGGAATAGCCCCACAATTGGAGCAGGTGCCCCAAACTTAACCGGGCTGCTCCCTGCTGCCAGATTTCATCCAAAGGCTGGGGTGCAACTCCTCAGCCCAGCACAGGGCTCGGAGTGGTCAGCATTTTGTTTAGGAATTACTGTCCCAGACCATCACAATTTGCAATATGCTCTTCAGTTGCTGAAGCATGTGGCAATCATCCACATCCAGAACTGAAGCAGTTGCCACACAGCAGGAAAGAGACAAACCTGAAGATAACTAGGCCCATTAATGAAGCAAGAAAGTAAGTCTGCAAAGGTCTGGTACATCGACTGGTGAGCAAGCATGGTGAGGAATTCAGCTGCAACAGATTCCATCCTCGAGAAGGGATGTAACCATAAAATGCCTTCCCTAAAGCTGCACTTCCAAGAGGCAGGTATGCGGAGGGTGCTGCTACCCCCTAGCCACCACCTGGAGTCCCCAGTGGGTCTCTGAGGGGCTGATAAGCAAACCTCCACCCCAAAAGGCAATGCAGAAATGGCAGTGCTGCTGCCTTGGGGCTGGGGAGGCAGTGGGCAGGGCAAGGGGGGCAGTGCTCCTCCTCACCCTACGCACCACTGGGTTTGCAGACAGGTATACCCAAGGGCTGTTGGAGAGACATGAGCTCAGTAGCCTGTGCAAGCCATGGTGTGAAAATGCAAGGTTTTCATTCCTGAACATGGATCAAGTGGGATGGCAGAGCCCAATGTGACTCTGCAAACAGCTCTGTGGGCACCATTATCAGAAGTGTCTGTGTACCAGCACCAGCCCCCCTGGCTCTACTATCCCTCAGGAAGAAGCACTGCAGGAAGGTGTGGGGGGCTCCTTGCCTGCTCCATCCCATCCAGAGCAAACACCTGCCTGCTGAGCCTTCAGCCTGAGGCCCAAAACAGGTTCCTCTGCCCACAGCTGGAGGCAGGCAGGGCTTTGGCAAGGCAACTCCCTCTCCCACAGGGACACTGCCATGCCCACGTGTCTCAGAGGAGTGGCTGGGGCTGCTCTCAGCCTTGCAGCTCACAGGTACTGCTCAGGCATTAGGCAGCTGCTAAGAAGCACAGGGCAGGCATGGGTCTAAGGAGCTGTGGTTCAGCAGGACACCTCAAGGGGAGAAGGAACCACAGGAGTGCTACACCATGTGTAGGTGTCAGATGTCACCTTAAGCCATTGGATTCATTTTACGTGCACAGCAGCATTTTCTGTTTTCACCTTGCAAGACAAAGGAGACAAAAGAAAAGCACACTGGATGCTACTAGAGGTGAAATGAATCAGCTGTACAAATTGAAGCTTTTCTCTTCCTGCCACGCAGAGGGATGGTCCTGCAGGCTGGCAGGAACTCTCTGCCACAGGCTGCAGCACGGCACATACCCCCCTGCCCTCACACCGAGAGCATCATGGGGGTTCCCAGTGCGGTGCCTTGCACCCAGTCTGCATCAGAGCCAAGACCAGAGACCCCCCCAGCTGGGGTGGGCTGCTGCTAGGCACTGTGAACAGGGCAGACCTCAGCCCCCTACTCGCCCTCTTATGAGGTCCCAGTGGGACTTTGTCCAAGAGGGCTCGGTTCAGCACGGTGCCAAGCAGGCATCCCAATGTGTGCTGGGCTTCATGCTGAGGGACCCAGACAGTTTGCCCCAGCCAGTTTAGCCTGCCCATTCAACATCCGGTCACTGTGGTTACTTGTAGTTCCCCAGTAATCTGCTAGATGGCATAAGGTAATGATAGTAATAATTTTAATTATATGGTGGTTAATTGATCCAAACTCTAGAAATGATTTGTCAAGTAATTAAAGCAGGTGTTTATATATTTTACTGCATGAGTATGTACCACTCCCCTTTTGTTGAGCATTTATCCAAATCCTGATGAAGTGCCATTCTCTGCAACGCTGGAATTTCTTTTCTTTCTGGCAAGGATATGATACATGACATTAGAAGCTATAGTAATGACACAGAGACCAACTTTCTTATTAGTCTGTGACTGTACTCGAGCAACTCCAACAAGAAATTACAAGACAGCTTCTTGTTATTCGGCTGCTGCATATAAATAAAGAGCAAACTATTACTCATACATAATAGCTTGTATTTGCTGCAGGCCCTTTGGTTCTCAGAACCGGGCTAACCAAACCAAAGGGAAGATTATGTTGCAAGAGCGGGACTCCTCCATGACACAGCTTGGCCGGGCAGGCTGCTGGTGCTGGAACTCTCCCGGCCGTGGGGTCTCCCGCAGCAGGGTATCCCGTAGTGGCCCCAGGATTTGTATCAGTTAAGGAGGGTTTGAGCAGACGGATCCCCCCCGGTGCGCTCTCCATCCCCGCCACCCGCGCTGACGGAGGCTGCTGTGGCACCCACCCTCCGCGCGTGGGGATCGAGCCAGGCGGCGGGGGACGGAGCGCACGGGGATCCACACTCCCCGCAGCTGTACCGGCCGGTGCCTCCCCTGGGGGCCGCGCTCCGCGGCGGGCGGAGAGGGGAGGGGGGGCCGCTCGTCTGGGCTGGCACCGCCCCGCGCACGCCCCTTGCCCGCCCCGCGGCGCGGCCGGGGCTGGGGCCGGGGCGCCGCGGCGGGCGGCGCAGAGCGGCGGCGGCGGGCGGGCGGCGAGCAGCGCTCCGCCGGCTCGGCGGGCCGGGCAGCGGGCGCTCCGCCCTCGGTGCGCGGGGCCTCCCCTCTCCGCGCTCGCGGAGCGCCGGCGCCCGCCTATATCTACAGCCGCGGCCGCCCGGCTCCCGCAAGGATGTGAGGCGGGCGGGCAGCCCAGCCGCCGCCGCCGTGGCATGCCCCCCCGCGCCCGGAGCCGTCGGCGCGGCGCCTAGGCTCCGCGGGGCCATGCTGCCCTGGAAGCGGAGCAAGGTGGACCTGGCGGCGGGCGAGGCGCGGCGGCAGAGCAAGCCCAAGGGATACGCGGTGAGTGTGCACTACTCGGCCCTCACCTCGCTGGCCCGCGCCTGCCCCGAAAGCGCCCTGCACCGCGTGGGCAGTATGTTCCGCTCCAAGCGGCGGAAATTCCGCGTCACCAGTGAAGACCCCACGTACACTGTGCTCTACCTGGGCAACGCCACCACCATCCAGTCCAAGGGCGAGGGCTGCACCGACCTGGCCGTCTGCAAGATTTGGAGCAAGAGCGAGGCGGGCCGGCAGGGCACCAAGATGAAGCTGACCATCAGCGCGCAGGGCATCCGCATGGCCCACGCCGAGGACAAGGGTCTGCGCCGGCCCGGCCACCTCTACCTGCTGCACCGGGTCACCTACTGCGTGGCCGACCCGCGCCTACCCCGTGTCTTCGCCTGGATCTACCGCCACGAGCTGAAGCACAAGGCGGTGATGCTGCGCTGCCACGCCGTGCTGGTCTCTAAGCCCGAGAAGGCCAAGGCCATGGCCCTGCTGCTCTATCAGACTTCGGCCACGGCACTGGCCGAGTTCCGCCGGCTGAAGAAGCGGGACGACGCGCGGCACCAGCAGCAGCAGCTGGTGGGTGAGCAGAGCATCCCGCTGGTGCCGCTGCGCAAGCTGCTCAACGGGCAGTGCTGCTACAAGCCACCGGTGGAGCGGAGCCGCAGCGCGCCCAAGCTGGGCTCCATCACGGAGGACCTGCTGGGCGAGGAGCAGGAGGAGCGGGCCATGCACTGCGACTGCGAGGACATCCTGGAGGCGCTGGGCGAGCCCGAGGGCGAGCTGCTGCGCCCTGGCGCCGGCCGCGGCGAGAGCCCAGAGCTGGGCCAGCTTCTTCGCGACCTGGGCGAGCTGAGCCTCGGCAACGACCTGCGCTCGCTGCGCGCCGACCTGCGCGTCCGCCGGCTGCTTTCCGGGGAAAGCACGGGCAGCGAGTCCTCTTTGGAGAGCGGCGGCACGGACGGGGCCGCCCCGCCTGGCAGCGACGCCGAGCAGCCACCCCCCAGCGACCCCGAGACCGGCTGAGAGCTCGGGCCCTTTTGGGCGTGCGCGGCGTCGCCGGGGCGCACCGGTTTCCCTCCGGGAATGCACGGCCCCGCCGGGGCGCACCGAGTTCCTTCCGGGAGTGCACGGTCCCTTCTGGGCGTGCACGGCCCCACTGGGACGCACCGGGCCCCTCCGGCTCAGCCGAGGTGGTTGCATGGCCACGCCGGGGCCCCTCAGGCGGTGCGCGGTGCCGCCGGCCGCCCCGCTTCCCCGCGGCGCCCCCGCGTCCCGCAGCATCCCGGGGAGCGGCCGCCCTTCCCGTGCCGGTAGTCGCCGGAGCTGGGCCTCAGCCCACCGCGGCCCGAGGAGGGGAGGCGGCCGCGGGCTGTTTACCTCCGGCTCAGCCCTTGAAGATCTGCCAAATTCCTGGAATAGCTTTCCCCGGGGAGGGCGGAGGGAGGGAGGTGTTGCGCCTTGTTTACAGACAGAAATCTCACATCCGAGAGGCCCCCCCCTCGCCGTTTTCTCCATTAAAGTCACTCCATCGTGCTATCGTGTCCGAGAGGTTTGCACTGTTGTGAAGTTGGGGGTT